GCCAGTTCCATGTCCTGGAACCCCCTCAGTGTCCCAAAATCCCAACCCAGTCCCATGTCCTGGCAGTCCCCTCAGTGTTCCACAACCCCAAACCAAACCAGCCCCATGTCCTGGCACCTCTTCAGTGTCAACCTGGACACACAACCCTACATCCAGCCCCATGTCCTGGCACCCCATCAGTGTCCCAAAATCCCACACCCAGCTCCATATCCTGACAGTCCCCTCAGTGTCCCACCTGGACACATAATCCCACACCCAGCCCCATGTCCTGGCACCTCCTCAATGTCCCAAAATCCTATACCCAGCCCCACATCTTTGCAGTCCCTTCAGTGTCCCAAAACCTGCACCCAGTCCCATGTCCTGGAACCCCCTCAGTGTCCCAAAATCCCACATCCACCCTCATGTCCTGGCACCACCTCAATGTCCCAAAATCCCACATCCAGCCTCATGTCCTGGCACCACCTCAATGTCCCAAAATCCCACATCCAGCCCCATGTCCTGGAACCCCTTCAATGTCCCCAAGCCCCACAACCAGTCCCATGTCCTGGCAGCTCCCTCAGTGTCCCACAACCCCAAACCAAACCAGCCCCATGTCCTGGCACCCCTTCAGTGTCCACCTGGACACACAACCCCAAACCAGCCCCATGTCCTGGCACCCCCTCCATGTCCCACAACCCCACACCCAACCCCATGTCCTGGCACCCCCTCAATGTCCCTGCTGGACACACAGCCCCACACCCAATCCCATGTCCTCCCCTCACCCCTCTCTGTTCTCTCTGTCCCCCTGGCACTCACAGGTGACAGATCCCACCTTGTCTTGTGTCCTCCCTGGGAATCCCTCCCCGCTCCCACCTCAGTGTGTGCTGTCCCCTCATGGCCTCACCAGCCGCCATCACCGGCCTCCATCCCTGCTGCTGTGGGAAATGGCGGCAGCACCCTGGCAGTGCGTCTCACCCTTTTCCTCCCTCTTCCCTTACTCATCCCTCACCCCAGACCCAGCAGAGGAGCCTGTGTGTGTATTTCCACCCCCATATTTCCGTACCATTCCAGGGTTTTAATGGGAATTTGGAGATGTGGGTCCTGCTGGGCCCTGACCATGGAGGCGCCTCAGGGCCTGGACGTGCCCTCAGCGCGCACAGGCCAGACCCAACAGGCTCCAAACTTGGGGTTAAACTCAACATTCTTAAATTGAAAAAGGGGAAAAATCCCTTCAGAGTGAAGTAATATTTTCCTTAGAGGCTGCACACAATGGGAGTTGTGACCCAAATCCCTTGGGAATGGCATTTCCATGTGTGGCTCAGTGAGGGTTTCAGGTACGAAGCCCAAACAGGAGCGAGAGTTCATTGGCAATTCTGTCCCAGAATTTAATCATGAACATTTGATGGTGCAAATATTTTCTGCTTTGACTTTGACTTTTGTGACTCTTGTGGATGGTCCTGTGCAGGGCCACCAGTTGGACATGAAAATCCTTGTAGATCCCTTCCTTGTACATCCCTTCCTTATTCTGTGATTCTCTGATAAATTTTTAACATCATTATCACAAGGCTGATCAAATGCTGTGAAGCCCAGGACCATTTCATCCTTTGGCTGTACTTCTTCAGGGTACAGAACACCAAATAATTTGGAAATATTCTATTCCAAATGGCCAGTTCTTTTCCCAGGCTATACTCACATATAAAATCTCCTGGGAAACAAGCATGTGTAATAACTTCAGGCAACAATTAATGTTTTCTTACTGGGGCTTTTTTTCATGGTTGTTGTTCTTTTTCAGGAAAATACTCTGAAAATATCTACTTCTAATAGGCCTGTTGCTGGACCTCCTGTTACCCCTCAAAAGTAAAAAAGAAATGACAGATGGTGAGCCACACTAAACTACCATCCTGTTATTTTTAGTTTTCAGTGCAGTTTTTCAGGATCCCAGTTCCATACATGGAGTACTGCATTCCCAGCTTAGCATACTGGTTAACACAGACAAAAAGCTTCCTTTCAACAGCATTTTTACTCTTTATAACTATAAAGAGTAAAATTTTTACTCTTTTAAAAACTCAACAGCATTTTTACTATTTATAACTATAAAGAGTAAAATTTTTAACTTTTTTAAAAACTCAACAGCATTTTTACTCTTTATGTGTATTTAGTCCTATCTAATAAATTCTGGAAATAAAGTATTATAATCCATTTTAAGTGTTTTCAGGATCAGACCCATTGCTACATTCAATATTAACACTGAGCAACTTTCCAGAATAAGGTGGTCAGGGCAGATATTACTACATTCAATCTTAACATGTGAAATATGTTTTTCTAAAACCTATTCCAGTTTCACCTCTGGCACAGGGTCAGCTTTACTAAGCTCATGTTGCTCACAGCACAAACAGACTGGACACACAAATGAAATGAAATGAAAGATACTGCAATAGAATTAAAGAAGCAGGCCCCTTAAAATTTGAAAATAATCTGTGACCATTTAACATTCTTCAAATGCCTCTCATGCCCAGAGATCTCCTTCAGCAAGAATGTGCAGGCATGCACTGAATTGTGGAGATTTCTGGGGTGGAAGGTGCCAACCAGATTAAAAAAAAGAGGATAACACAAAAAAAAAAAAGGTGGATAACACAGGAGAATGGGAATATTTTTTGCTGAGTGCTCTGGACATCTTCTTACATCTTCTTTGATGCAAAAAGGAGGAGAAAATGCACCAATAGGTTCTGGGTACATTGAGTCAGGCAAATCAGTATCAGGGAGTGTCAGACACACATTTATGTCAGGAAAGTCCCTGAGCCCTGCAGTGTAGGTGATAATCTGAATTCTTTAAAGCTGAGAACGTTTGTAGCCAAGACTTATTTCAATATGATCTCTGCTATAATTACTGCTGCATCTTTGCTTCCCTTTGCTTTCCCCTTCCCCTCAAACTTCCAGCTACAGCTCCAAAGCCTTGTAGTGATACAAGGGTACATCCAGTCAGGCAAATCAATATCAGGCAATGTCAGACACACATTTATGTCAGGAAAGTCCCTGAGCCCTGCAGTGTGGGTGATAATCTGAATTCTTTAAAGCTGAGAGTGTTTGTAACCAAGACTTATTTCAATATGATCTCTGCTATAATTACTGCTGCATCTTTGCTTTCCCCTTGCCCTCAAATTTCCAGCTGCAGCTCCA